TAGATGGACCTTTAGTCTAACCAGTCTTATGTAAAACCTGATCCATAATCTCTTGCTTTCCATCTGGGCAGGACTGTAGAAACAGTGGATCAAAGTCAGCCCTGCCGAATGTGGACACAATTTCCGTTCAAGTCCATTGCACTTGCACCCTCTTGTAGAAGGGGTAATTTGGGCTGAATGCGCTTAGTCCTGGGAGTTTGGGGGCAAGGGCACTGTGTATCTCTTTCTCTAGAGGCTCTTCTGGCTGTGATAGAGGGGCAGGAATGACTGGCTGCCAAAGAAGATCTATGCATCAAAGATCTATCTATCTTTGTCCAGAAGGAATATAGCTGTCCTACAGGTTTAAAGTAGATAAAATTATGGTGAATTCTTGGGTGGTTTCAGCAATAGTGCAATGTATATCTGAAGTTTCTTGGGTACTTGGCTCAGATCTTCCTTCTTGTCTCTCTGTTCCAGTTAAACTCAACATTTCTATACAAGCCATGTCCTTTCTTTTGTTTTTCTTTTGGTTTTCGTAGTTTCTCTCTGTTGCTTATTGTAAACATACCTACTATATATATTGTGGTGTTGGAGGGCAGCACCACTGTAAACACTTTCCCACAGTGAACTACAAGTGGTGGTGTGACTTCAAAAAATAAATTCAACTTTCATGCTGACAAACCGTTTTCAAGTCCAGCAGCAATTTAAAGTGTACTTCACTACAAATCACAATGTTAGATAAGAATATCCATACTTAAATTTCCTGAAACTATTCAGCATTTGTTTCTGTAGCAAACATGCTGGCTGACTGGGTTTGTTAGATTAAAGTAAGAACTCCGGTCAAGGTTCAGTTTAGCTGTTTACCATTTCAAAATCTTAAGTGTTCTTAACTCTTTCATGTGTGTTTTTCCATCTTTGTTTTGAAAACCAAACATGTTTTTCTCTTTGAAGAGGCTTACAGGGAAATGTGTGGCAAGCTTGCTGTTCCAAATGTTTTTTCCTAAATCTAAAAAGATGCCTTTCAACTCTAGTATTGAACTGCAATAAATCCTGTATTATTTTAGTTTTCAAAGTATTGCTTAATAAGTAGCTTCCAAAAAACAAAATATGATGCAAGGGAGGAGTGGGAAGATTGAGTCCTGATATGTAGCCATTTCTGTGATATTTGCTTTTTAAGAGGAATAGGGACCCTGGTTATAATTTTATATATTTAGGGTTAGATTGAGCCTTATGCTAAACTAAGTATAAGGAATGGTGTGCGGCTGTGCGTACCCAGGAGAAGCCCTGTGGAAGGAGCCAATATTCAAAATCACAATTTCCTTTCCCGCTTCCTCTTTGCTTTTGGGGGAAATCTCCTTAGTGCAGTTTAGTTCTTCCATCATGCCAGCTCCACTCTGTTGGCTAATGCATTACAGAGATGGAGCCTTGGTTCCATCCACTGTCTTTCCCTTTCCTACTCACCTGCTTGAGGTAGTGGGAAGTGGAGGACTACTGGATGCACATGCTTGCGGTAATGTAGTATGTGTATACGCACGTGTGTTTACTTCATCTTACTGTCCTGCGTGACCGAGCTAGGGTGGGATAATATTTCAGGCATTAAATAAAAATTCCAGAGCAAAACCCAAATTAAATACGTACTTTGGTGTTTTTTATACAACAGTATCTTGCAATAGGAAGTAAAAAATAAAAATAAATGTCACTATTTATGTACATGTTGGTATACAAATATTTAGCAAAAACACTGAACAGCGTCATCTGGTTTTATGTAGGGTTTATTTGCAGCTGTGGTTCTCTGTGCTTTGTCATATTGATGACTTAAAAAGGATGAGTAAGGTTTCACAGTGTAGCTGATACAGCGTCTCTCTATATTGACCTTTTGACAACAGTGTCCAGTTTAGAACAATATTTGGTAATGAGAATGTTGGTTTGTATAAGGTAATTGGGGCCTGATTCAGTGGAATCAGTGAATGGAAGCCCCCTGTTTTTTTTTAATGTTAAGTGGGTTTGGTTCAGGACCATAGGTAGTAATGTCACTAATATATTAAGAGGTGTAGAAACACGTTTTAGTAAATGGATGAAACATGCCATGGAAAGCTTTTACCAGATTTAACGTGTCTTTTGTTTATAGAAGTATAAAAAGTAATTTTAATACCCAATGAAATACAGACCATATCTTTCTTAAGGTCATGGACTGTAGAGTGATAGCGCACAAGGAGGTAAAGTGGATTATCTTTATCAGCTGATCAAACAGAAAATAACCTTTTTAATCAAGTGTGTTGACGTTTTCCCCGTAGCATGTATCGGTTGCTTTAAATGATAGGTATTGGCGGAAATAGAGCTGAAAGTGTTTGACTGAATTGCTCTTTCTTGCTGAGGTGCTGACTTTCTGCTGTGCCCCGCAGCTCTACTAATTTTGAAAAAGGGGATAGTTTCCATAATTTCCACCCCCCGCCCCCTTTGTTCTGAGTGTTTTTTAAACGGGTGCCCCCTTAGCTTTCCCACCATCGAACTGTTGGCTTATGAGGGCTCAAGTGTTTTAAAGTGACAATACCAACCTTCACAAAATGAAACATGATATGTTGCCTGTATAATTGTTTGACTGACTAATGGACAGAATAGAAGAGATCCAAAACCTTTTCTACAAAAAATGTCTGAAAATTCAATTTGTACTAAGGGTATTTGCAAATGAGAGTTCAACTGTATGTCAAATAAAGATGTATTTTACTTGCTTCATACCCAAAAAACTTTGTCATGTGATTTACTATTTGACACACGGTAAACCCTCTGCATCATACATATGTATTTTGATTTGTCTTTGACCTTTGACTTATTATTTTTAAATCTGAATGTTTCTCACAAATACAAGTTTTTCCTCCACTCTTCACTGTGATATTCCTCCTTTAATGTGGTATAATTTTGAGAACAAGAAGTTTTGCAGAAGACTAGCATGAAAGGAATGAATGTTGAAACATTAAATGTTTACAGATCATTTTAAGTGGATATAATCCACAGCAAGTAACAAAATGGGAACATTTAACTTCAAAGCACATCTGGCTGCTGTTACAAAATCAGAAAATGTTAAGACTTAAGCCATAGAACGTATTAGAGCCACATTTCCCTCCCCCCCCCTTTTATAAACAACTAGCATATACCTTACTTATTCAAAGTGGTGCTGAAATTAAGCAAGGCTGAAAATTATTGCGTTCCATGCCCAAATAAATTATGTCAATTGGCTGTAAATCTTTAACAACTTTTATCTTTAAAAAGCTAAGAAAAATTGTTTACAATTTATGTGCAAAGTGTGGGACGTTTAAAAAGCATTTACACCCTTGAAGCCGGATCCTGCATTCCTAGTTTCCACATAACTTTCCTTGAGGTTAATTGAGGCTTAGAGTAGGTAGGTTCAGCCCCCAGAAAGTAGCTAGGGGGCCAAAGAGTGCCTTCTCCCTTTGAATCTATGGAGGGCTCTCTGCTCAATCGTAGATCCATGCTGGTGGGAAGGATTTGGCAGGGTGAGGTTATGGGTAGGGACAAGACATTAGTAGAGAATTATGGAGCTGCAGCTTTTGTCTCTCCCTCTCCTGCTCCTTCTGTTAGGTGCCTATTTTTTTTAACTTCTGTGCTTGCTCTTTTTTCTTTTCTCCTCATCCTTCAGTCTACTCCTGCTTTCCTTTTCTTTCTCCCTTGTTTCCTCTCACTTTCTCTACCACACTAATTTCATTTTATCTCCTTTCCTTACACCAAGGATACGATGGTCTCTTTTGTTCACCTTTGTCTGTTCATATCTGCTGTCAACCCAATGTGAATCGGTAACTTCCTTGGTAATTTTTAAGATGATGATGTCCCTTCAATTCCATTATGCTGGAATATTTTTGGAAAGCCCTTACTGCACTTATTTAAATGTACAATCACTGTTTTTATGATGAAAATGAATAGCAAGGAAATAATGTCCTCATTTTAGTAAGTGAATGTGGTCATTGTAAAAAGTTGAACTTTGATTTTTCTTTCCGAAATACAGTGATGCACATTAAATAATACAGGTAACTTTTTGTTTAAAAGAAGGTCTGGTTGGTCTGCTATAATAAATTCCTGCAAGGTAAATAGTGATGGGTTATTTAGAAAAAAGCTTAAATGTTTTAAACTATTGGCTTGGCTATAGTGATGATCTTGAATGTATATAGCACTTTTCATCCAAATGGAACCTAGAAAGTTTAAAAACATTACTGTGTGTGTAAAGTATGCTCACATTGTGCATCTTTGAACTATAGCCACCTCTGGGGTGATATATGACAACTCTTCAGCAGCACATAAGAATACAACATAATACTTTAGGACAGGAAATGAAGAATACTGTGTCAGATTGAAATTACAGAGAGATTAAGTCTCCTTCTTTCATTTATAAATTCAAAAAAGTGGCAAGCACTCTTGATATATTTCGTATTTGCCATGCCTGATAGATCAGTTTAATCTTCTCTAAAAATAAAGGACTTAATGTTGTAAGATGTGTATTGCAATCACATTTTCATTCCAAATCTTCATACCACATTTGACAGATTTATATTCTTGAAAGCATTTCCTGGATGTTATGCATTCTGTGTGATATGATGTTTGAATCTCATAATTAGAGAAAATTAAGTGAGATATAGCTGTCTGATAGAGGAAGTGGTTTGTGCACAGTGTTTCAAATGCAGTTCTTAAAGTTTGTGATTGAAAGGGCTGCTGTAATTATACAGTACTTTTAATGAATTTTTCTTTTTACAGTGAGTTCCATGTATGATCGTTGTTTGTGTAGTCGTAGTCAATTATGTTTTTTGGAAAAAACACTACATTGAATTTTTCTCTCTGTTTAACCAGTGGAAAGCCAGATTAACTCCACTGAACCTAACAAAGTATATTTGTATTTACATCTACTTTTGTAAATCTTTGGCCATAGTTTTTTAAAGTTATTTTATAAGAAATAATGATGAAAAGCTATGTCATGTGGTCAGTAAGCTGCTGTTGTACGATGTCTTGTTTTCCAGCTAGAAAATCCAAGATATTTGCGAGAGAAGCCCATACCTCTGTCTCTGGTAGGTGTTATATTCCCTTGATGATTTTTGGAGGTAGACTGTATGTTGCCTTTTATATTTTTCACTTGAGAATGATTCTCCTCAAGGTAATGCTTTGAACTTTTAAATATGAACTTTCTCATTCAATAGATGACACCCAAAATAGGCTTGGGAAAAATTAGCACTTTTCGTGATGAACAGTCCCTGTTTCGCATGCATGAAAAAGAGGTAAGATACTTCTCAAATATCTGGATCTTTAAATGTCCTAAAAAAAAAATTCATTCTAGTGAAATAAGTGATGTTTTGATCAGCAATCTCTGTTCTTTCTAAGAAGAAAGGGTATGTGATAAAAACAGTATATGTATACCAATGTAACTATGGATATACTGGAAATCTTGCTTAAGACAATCTACTTCAAGGTCACTGAGTTTGTGCTAAGCAAATAAATTATTTTATAACAATTTAGGAAAAAATGACACCTTCAATATTTAAAGAAAAATTGTACATTGGTAGCCCTTAAAAATGTCAGTTAATTTCCTTTGGTCCTGCAAAGACTTACGGATCATTAACTTTCCCCACGTGATTAGTCCAATTACTAGAATCTGAGGAAGGTGTCATGGGATGTGGGAGGTGGACAAGAGACTTCAGGCTGTGAGAATTATTTCTGAAAATCTGTAATGTATTAAATAATGTACCACTTCCTATGAACATAAATTAGGGGTATAATGGATTCTGGTGAGATGAACAAAGCACTCAAGCTTTGCTCTTATGGCTGATATCTTCACCAGAGCTCCTGGATGGAATTTACAGTCTTATTATGTACAATGTGGGGCACATTATTCCTTGTACTATAAAACCAAATCCTTTAATACTGTAACAGGGAAATCTTTTTATGACATGCTTGTATCTATATTATTGTGACATCTTTGCCATTCCATCTGTACATATTCTATTTCACTGATGCATGTTAGCGACTTGGAGACTGTAGGCACATACTGTGCATTTTATTATGCTCTGTCAGCCTAAGAAGCTGCTAGACTAGCAACTTGAAACTATTAGTGTTCTGAGGGTTAAACTTCCAAACCTTCAGCTAAGAGTTGAGATCCATAAAACTTGTACATTACATCAGCCTAAATATCCCACAGTTCTGTTTTCGTGTTGTTGTTTTGTTTGTGCAGGTTACAGTATTCAATTTTTATTAATCAGGCCATGCATCAGATGATATACATGGTGTGTGGGATAAAAGTAGCAGGCTGCAAATTTTATTTATTTCAGTAACAGACTGGAGTGCGTGGGAGGGCAACTGTCTCCTCTACTCTACCCCTTTGCCCTCGAGCTATCAGGCAATTATTTGAGTCCAGTGTGGGATAGTTGAGTTTGCTGATCCTATACCTAACCCCTGGATGGCCTGTAACTGGGAATTTGATGCTTGAGACCATTTGTGTGTGGGATGAGAAATGCAGATAGAGGTGACTCAGTCTATGTGAGACTCAATTACCCACTGCCCTGAGACCAACTGTGTCAGATGCCATTGGCTTCCTGGATGCTGTGCTTGGATGTGCTTGCACTGGATGCTCACTGCTAGTTGAAACATTTTTATAATTTTCCATTTTAAATTGTAACTAACCAAACAGGTCCTCAGGCTGGCATGGGAGAGTTTTAAAAAGCAAACAGATAACCTCCTCTTCCACTCTCTTGGATATTGGCCTATTTTACACAATGGGAAAATCCCTTCCTCTTCCTGACCCTGAAAAGGCAATCTGGCTAGGCCCATGGTGGACCAGGGAATTCTAGCCAGACAACTACAAAACAGGGTGAGTTTCGGTGAGTGCATGCTTTGTGTGCTGGCTTGTAGCTCACACTCAGGAGAAGGCCTCTTATTCCCCAAGAAGGAGGAGCTGCATGAACCAGTCAGCTGCTCCTGCCTACCCTGAACAGGTCAATCAGAGCTTGAGAGGTATCACTGCAATACTGCCCATGGATACTCAGGCACCTTGCTACCACCTCTCCTTAACTTAGGGAAGCCTTGTCTGTATCTGCCAGGGGTCAGCTCCCTGACTGTCCCAGTCACACGCAACACAGGTGCTCCCCTCTCAGACCATGTGGGCTCTGCTGTCCCTCATGCAGGCTAGCAATAGGAACACTGCAACCCCTGAGTCCTCTGAGCATCACCCTGTCTTATCCAGCTCCTTATCCACTGAACACTCACAGAATTATTACACCTGCTCACAAAGGAACAGTGCAGTACAGCTTACTAGCTATACCTTAGACCCCATCTCTGCTTAACACACAGCACTTAGATATGTGTATAGTAAAAACAAGACCAAGTTTATTTAACAAAGAACAGAGTCAAATGATAGGAAACAGAAACATTGGAAACAGGGTGATATGTAGTACCAGAAATTACATTTTAGAGCCTAAACTAACAAGATGTCCTCTTGTCTAATAAGGTACTAGTTATCTCAAAGTCTTTCTCAGAGCATTTTTCAGGATGGCTGAGATTCTTTTCATGAGATTAGCCCACTGGCAACTTGCCTTCCCAGATGAAGGATAGAATCAAGGATGCCAGAGCATCTTTCTGCACCCCAGATACATCAGACCAGTCCTTTTTTTCTTCACTTATCAAACAGGATTGTCACCCTGCTGTTTATCTATTCCTGTTAATTTTCCTTCTGAAGTCCCCTGAGGTTCTTTACTAGCCTTTGATTCAATGTGCTTATTGTCTTGTATTGTAATACACATACATACACATATATAAGACAGGTGACCCACAGACTCCACCAGGAGGAAGGAAACATTTCTCTCTAGCTAACCATTGTGTATTGTGTCTTACAATACAAGACAATAAGCACACTGAATATACATATACATGATCTCCTTACATATTATCCATGCATACATTTCTCAAAAATTTTGATGACCACTGTGACACAGGCTTTCAGGAGAAATCTTCCATGACACACTTTGGTGAACTAGAATGTAAATACCAGACCCAGGGGATGCCTGTAAACTTTATGCACCCCTGTTCCCTCTGCCAGTTGCCATCAAGAGGTCCTTGGTCACAATCACCTACCCTTGTTCATGCTTTTCCTGTGTGCCCAGGAAGGCATACTTTCTATGTGCCCCCACCCTCTAAAACCTGAAAAGAGCTCTACTGTGTCCATCTCCTGCTGGTCCAACAGAAAACCTCACCCCTTGTTTGGTGGAGGGGGTAGTTCTTAATGACACTATAATAAATAGGATATTGATTGTTAACCAGTGATGTCTAGAACCTTAGCTAGTATAAATCCAGTTTTTCTCAACTATGTTTCTTTTATTATCCTTCATCAGAAATGGTTGGCATTTTCTGAGATGATAGATGTTTTGTATCCATGTCCAGATCTTTTCAGGTTATATCAAAGGAAAAACAATGCCTTTGTTGTTTGCATATGTTAGATCCACCTGCTTTTTGCTCCAGTTTTGATTCCATATTATTTTTGAACGTTTATTATTGGATGCTGTTCTAGTAATTTTTTCTTTAGAATATGTTTGTGAATAATTAAGAGGAAATGGTCACTTTTGGGTAGGTCTTGCATGTAATGAGATCTTTGCTTTTTAAGATGACATTCTGGTACTGGAATAAACATCTGATTACTACCATGTTTGAGCCCTGAAAGAGGGAGAAAGCTGTGAACCTGTTCATTTATTGCATCTAAGATTCATTTTGAATTTTTTTGTGGTTCTTTGTGTTTCCACACCCTGGGTTTGTGTGTGTGTGCTCTACATGGAATGCCTTAATTTTTTGTGGCTTCTCTAAGAAGTTTGAAAATACATTGTGAGTTGGTGTATAGCTTGAAATGTGTCCTGTAAACATCCTGGCCCAAAAAAGAATGGACTGTTTTGCTTAATAACCCCATGATAATTGTTTTGTGATACCCGCTCCTCCACCCCTCCATGCAGTAATGTTCCTTACAAACAGTACAGCAGAACTCTAATTATATGACTAGAATGATGGACATGAAACCTATTCTGCATATACAATTTTTTTTCAAAGCAACGTATTAAAATTTGAGAACACCACTTTCATCTGACTAAAATAAATTCCCTTGTAAATGTGAGGTGAACTAGGTTAGCTTTTAAAAATCTGCACATTCGTACTTGATAGGTTTTTTCTTATAAAATGTTTTTCTTCCCTCACCCCCTTTTTAAAATTCATGTTGTATTTATTTTACCTTAATATGCCAAATCCTGCTTTTCTCAACAAATCTTAGTAGTCCTATTGATGTTATTATATTTTATTCATTTATTTTGAGTTTATAAAATATCAGTCTACTCTATGCTCTGGGCTCTCTCGTGTAAAGATTGTCTATATAAAATAAATACCTTGTATTTTATAGCAAGCTGCTCAGCTCACCATAATAATTACATGAGCATCAGACAAAAACAGTAAATATAATGAAACAAATTGCCCCCATTCAGCAGTCCTTCCCCAAATTCATAAGTAAAAAGATGGGCCTTGCACATTGTCCAGAAAGTTAATGACTCCAGAGCCAGTGGACCAAGTTGGGGGAAAGCAAATTCCATGACATATTTAAAAAATGGAAAACAAAAAAAGATTTACACATACTTAATTTTAAATCTATAAACTACACTGCTGAAAGTTTAAAGCACAAGTACGTAATTCAGTAAACTATCCATAAATACTTAGAACTGCATAGAACTCCAAATCTATTAGCCAGAGTTGGAAAGGGTAGGGCCATCATCTGCAAACAATCAGTTCTCCTGCCCTTTAATACTGGATGTTTATAAGAACAATAAAACTTAGAAATGTCTTAACTTTATATATTTATTTGAGCATAAACTTTCGTGGGTAAAAACCTCACTTCTTCAGATGCATGGAGTGAAAATTACAGATGCAGACATAAATATACTGACACATGAAGAGAAGGGAGTTACCTCACAAATGGAGAACCAGTGTTGACCGGGCCAATTCGATCAGGGTGGATGTAGTCCACTCCCAACAGTAGATGAGGAGGTGTCAATTCCAGGAGAGGCAAAGCTGCTTCTGTAATGAGCCAGCCACTCCCAGCCCTTATTCAAGCCCTAATTAATGCCATGTACACTGGCCAAACCGGACAGTCCCTATGTAAAAGAATAAATGGACACAAATCGGACATCAGGAATGGTAACAAACACAAGCCAATGGGAGAACACTGCAGTCTCCCTGGACATTCTGTTACAGATTTGAA